GGCCTGATACTATGGACCTCTATCTAAGACCTGTCCTCAAATGCTGGATACCCAGAAGCCACAAAGCTGCATTATCCCACTCTGTACCTGATTTCAAACAACCATGGTAGGTCTACTAAGTTTAAAAGCTAGGTAAAGAGAGAAAGAGAGAGGGAGAGGGAGAAGACTTTTATTTCATAGGGCATTGAATCCGTCAAGAAGTGTACATAAGCACAACGGACGTCTTCACTGAGGTACCTTTTAAGCACGATTGGGACAGCAATGGAGGGGTTCTTCCTCAGACCATCGATTATGTCAGCTGCTTTATCGGCATATATCCTCTGGAGTGCTTTTCGATGGATGACTTCTGACGAGCCACCAAGGGTGTTGTCCAAGCGAAATTTGGCTTGTTCTTCAGCAGACAAGCGGGAAAGCTTCTTCTGTATTGCTTCCAGAACCCGGATTGTTGCCAGATTGGTCTCTAAAACGACATCAAGCTAAGGAGGAAGACAAGTGTGCTTAGTGTCTGAAGTAGAAAAGTGGTTAGTCAGGCGTGCAAGTTCCCTGGTCTTTATTCCTAGCTCTGCCCTCCTAGCCATTCAGACCCGGTTTCCCTATCCGTCAACTGAGGGTAGCGGCGCCCATCAGGTTGTGCTCCGGGGTTAACATACAGTTGCTAGCGCAATGGATGGCACACAGCAAGCGTCCACTAAATGACAGGTGAGTGGAATGATTATTTCTATCATAGCATGCTTTGGCTAGGGCTGCAGGACCAGACAGGATCTATTAGAAGGCAACCCAGTGCGCCCTTTCTTTGAATTTTCCTGATTGTTGAGATCCGTTTTAAACCATAATAAAGCAATCTCAAACGACTACTCAAGAGAATAAATCAGTCTCATGGGTTAGTGTTTTCACGGTAAATCAGGATATTAAAAATACTCAATAATCTTGTTCAGTACTATAAGTACAGGAATTAACAGTCAAAAAGAATTCAATAAGAAACATGTCTTTAACTTTTAATTCATTTTTTCATGAACAGTTTGAAGCCCCATCGTTAACTGTGGGGTAACCATTTGAATACTCACTGAGCACCTGGCACTAATTTTCTGATATTTTTAAGGACACAATTGGCAAACTTTGAATCTAAGATCTTCCCTAGCCTTAACACTGACTGACCAGATTCTCCAAGGATACAGAAACGAAGTATATCCATCAGCAGACTCACAGCACAAAGGGCCAGAGGTTTTCTAGCTTTGGGACACTGATAGTCAGCACTCTGCCCGTCTGGGTAACAGAGCACGTTAGTTTTACACAAATAACGTGTCTACGGTTCTACCAGAGGGTGCACCCCTCCATGCACTGGTTTCCTGTGAGCACTGTGTTACATGTGTGCACATACGATTTACGTGTGCACATTATATGCAAAACTACAATTAATTCTAAAGAGCAGAGTCCTTCCTCAAACGCAATGCACATGGAGAATAAAAAATAAACTTGTGGGGATTAAAAAACAACTTGTGTTTACAAGCCACTGAAATTTAGGGGCTTTCTGTACTGGAGAATTATCCAAGCTATTTCAATAAAGGGAAACCGCATTCAAAGTAGCCCACACCACTAAACCACAATCATATGCACCAACCCTACACATACACCCTCTCTCTCACCCTTACAGTCACACGTAGTAAATACAGTTGTTGCCTCCCATTTGCAGGTATGCCAGCTGAGAATGGAGCTGCCAAGCTCTGTTCTGTAAAGCATCATCCAATGCGATTAAATACAGGTAAAAAAGGAC